CTAAAATGTAAAACCTCAAACTATAAATCTTAGAAAATGCAAGAGACTCCATTATGGAAATTAGAACTGGCAACCAATTTCTGATCAAAACCCTAAGTGCCCATACCATAAGAAATAAGATAGACAAGAGGGACCTCACCAAACTGATAAGTTTCTGTCAAGTTAAAGAAATCATCAAGAGAGCAGGGAGATAGTCCACAGAATGGGAAAAATTATTTGCCAACTCTATATCTGACAAAGGCCTAACATCTAGGATTTACAAGGAACTCAAAGGTGTCGAAAAAAGAAAACAGCCGCATTACAAAGTGGGCAAAAGACATACACAGACACTTCTCAAAAGAAGATATATTGGCAGCCCACAGACACATGAAAAAGTGCTCAGCTTCACTAATCATCAGAGAAATGCAAATTAAAATCACATTAGATACCACTTAACCCTAGTAAGAATGGCCATCACTAATACAACAAACAACAGGTGCTGGCGAGGATGTGGAGAAAAGGAATGCTTCTACACTGCTGGTGGGGATGCAGACTAGTACAACCTCTTTGGAAGAAAGTGTGGCGATTTCTGAAAGAACTAGAAATTGACCTTCCATATGACCCAGCAATTATCCTATTGGGAATATACCCAGAGGAACTCAAATCATTCTACAAAAAAGATACCTGAACACACGCTGCATCTCTATTCACAATAGCAAAAACATGGAACCAAGTATGCTGCTCATTGAAGCTGGACTGGATTAAAAAAATTTGGAACATGTACACAGTGGAATGTTATGCAGCCATGGAGAGGGATAGACATGTTCACTTCAAAGCAACTTGGATGGATTTGTAGTCTGTCATGCTCAGTGAGATGTGTTCTCACTCATAGGTTGACCTTGAATGATTATCATAATACTATGGGAAAGGGACTGGCAGTAGTAGGGGGCTGCCAGGGGAGGGGAGGTGGGATTGGCAATTGAGGGGAGCTGCCAGGGGAGGGAGGGACACACCTCATCGATGGGGGGTACCTACATGGCGAACATTTGTGTACCTAATCCTAAATTGTACCCCACATCTTTAAGATAAAAAATAAAATAAAATAAGCAGAGTAGAAGTAAATTAGTAAACAATAATAATTATATGTAAAAATTCTGAAAGTATTTGTAAAATAAATAACACAGCTCTAAATAATCCATGGGTCAAAGAAAAGATCAAAAGAGAAAGTACTTTGAAATGAATGAAAATGAAAAGCAAAGGTGTGTGGAATACAGCTAAAACAGTACTGAAAGTAAATCTATAGCACCAATTGCTTATATGAGAATAGAAAGATAGTTTCTACCAGAAAATCTAGAAAAAGAAGAGCAAATGACACAAGTGAGCAGAAAAAAAAGAACTTAATAACTGATTCTGAATATCACATGAAAATGAAAAGGACAAAGAAGAGTCAAAGCAACTTAGAAGAAAAACAAAGTTGGAAGACATATACTAACATATTTTAAGCCTTTTATGACAACATATTGGCATTAAAATAAACAGAGATAAATGGACAAGAGGCCAGAAATAGTGCAATACATGTACAATTAGGTGATTTTGACAAATATGCATACTGCAATGCAATGGAGAAAGGATAGTCTTTTCAATAAAAGGTGCTGGAACAGTTGACTATCTATATTCAAAAAAATAAACTTTGGTCCATACTTTGTGCTATATACAAAAATTAACTTGAAATTAATTATACAAGAAACTAAAATTATAACCTCTAGCAAAATAGTAAAAAAGTCTCTATGATCTTGAGTTAGGCAAAGAGTTTTTAGATACAACACACAAAAAAATAGTAATAAAAGAAATAAAAAATTGGACTTCATCAAAATTTAAAGCTTCCAGTCAAGCATGGTGGCTCATGCTTGTAATCCCAGCACATTGAGAGGCAGAAGTAAGAGGATCACCTGAGTCCAGGGGTTCGAGACCAGTCTGGGCAACTTGGCAAGACATTGTCTCTACAGTAAAAATTTAAAAAGTAAGCTTGACGTACATCTGGTGTGCATCTGTGGTTCTAGCTACAGTACTTTTAATCAGAATGACTTGTATTCAGAATATTTAAAGAACTCTCAAAACTTCAAGAAAATAAATACTTCAATTTAAAAAATGGACAAGACTTGAATAGACGCTTTACCAAATATGCTCAAAATAATTAGTATTAGAAATATAAATTAAAACAATAACACTATCATTTATATAGAATGTTTAAAATTACAAGTATGTGTGACTATAGCAAGTCTTCCTGAGGATGTTGCCAATGTATAAATATGCAAGGAAATATATTAAGTAGACACATTATATACTTACCCACATAGCAGTGGTCTTACTTAAAATTGAAACAGACAAATAAAACGATGGAAAAAATGTTTGAGAAGCTGACTAAATTTATTAAATGAATATGTTTACATCTTATTATAAGATGGAGTAGGGAGACACTACTGGAAAGGCACATAGGACTGGGAAGCGAAAATGAGAATGGTCAGGCTAGAGACCACCTGATCCCAATAAGAACAGTCATCATCAATTAAACAAACAGATGCTGGTGAGGATGTGGGGGAAAAGGAACGCTTCTATATTGCTGGTGAGAATGCAAACTAGTGCAACCTCTTTGGAAGACAGTGTGGTGGTTTCTGAAAGAATTAGAAATTGACCGTCCATATGACCCAGCAATTCCCCTATTGGGAAAATACCTAGAGGAACTCAAATCATTCTACCAAAAAGATACCTGTACATACGTTTGTTGCAGTTCTATACACAATAGCAAAAAACATGGAACCAAGTATGCTGCTCATCGAAGCTGGACTGGATTAAAAAAATGTGGTACATATCCATAATGGATGCTGCTAAAAAGGACAAACATACGGACTTCGCAGCAGCTTGGATGGATTTGGAGTCTGTCATACTCAGTGATCTATCACAGAAACAAAGAACAGAGTACCATATGGTTTCACCCATAAGTGGACCTTGAACAATTATCATAATACTATAAGAGAGTGATTGGCAGTAGTGGGAAACTGCTAGGGGAGCAGGGATGGGACCGGTAGTTGAGGGAAACTGCCTGGGGAGAGAGGGCACATTTCATCAACAAGGGTACTTGTATAATGAACATATGTATACCTAACCCTGAATTGCACCACACATCTTTAAAATTAAAAAAAAAGAGAGAATGGGGGATAAAATTATCTCACTCTTCAACTTTCATACCTCACATTTTCTTTTATCTTTCTTGATACTTTTATCTTGACTGCCCCAGACCTAGAACTGCACTTTTGTGTACTAGTGAAGGTGATACCAATGCACAAAACACAATATCCATATCATTAAATTTGACAGTGTGTATTTCTACAGTAATTTCAGAGCAGGCCATATTTCACACCATGCAGCTAAATTGGAGCTGTATACACAGTCCCATTACAAGCAGCAGGGACAGCCCTCTAATTCTTCATCCATCAAATCTAAAACACTTCCCTAAGAATGTGTAAAGGGAAAGCCCTGGTAAGACTGATGTTCTTGTGTTAAGGATAATTAGTACAGCTGAGCCAGGGGAGAAATGGTATGGACTAAAAGCCCATTAAACAATTTTAGTCTGACATTCAACAACAGAAAAACTGTTTTAACATTTGAAAGTAAACTTCTTGCATGTTTAATTTCATCTAAATACTTCTTGTGTAACTACTAATTGATTATACTAACCTTAGAGGAAATTAGTATCAATCACATTTCCATACTGGTCAATTATGTCCTAGTAGTATAATTTACCAAAATAAGTAATTATTTATCTATATTAAAATTCTGTTAAATGTAGGAGAAAAAGAAAACAAGAGTCAATAAAAAATATAGTATTGGAAAATACTGAGTCTGAAGATCTCATAAAACACTTTATTGGAAAATAAAAAATGAAAAAAAAATTATCCAGAGTTAATTTTCATATACTCTCTAACATGCCAATATCTTTATCCTAACCAGATCATAAGCATTTTCATAAATTAGGTTTAATTCTTAAGTTGTTCTAATGAATTTGTGTATTAAGTAGTTAAATAGTCTCTCCATTTCTAGCTACTACTGATTTATTTGAAACAGTTAAAAACTTTTATAATATTCATACATGGATAGACTTAGGGACCCTATCAGATTTCAAATGGCCATGAGAATTAGGCTTTTGTGGCCTTGGAGCCACATAGATGCTAGCTCACAGTGACTGAAAGCTGTAGAAAACGTGTTACATTTCAATACTAAATCATTTTCAAGTCTGTGGTATGTAACTGAATAAGTTTCTATTATAAATAATACATTATTCCTTACATTCCAAATCATATATATCCCAATCAATTTAATTTTAATTTCCAATATTTGTTTTATAAAAATGCCTTTACTTACCTATAAAATAGGAGAGTAACAAACTATTACTTTCTTTTAGGAATATTGTTATATTCAAACTAATAAAATACCTTAAGATAATAGATATGAGACGGGCTCGGTGGCTCAGCCTGTAATCCCGCACTTTGGGAGGCTGAGGTGAGTGGATTGCCTGAGCCCGCAGGTTCGAGATCCACCTGGACAACTTGGCGAGACCGTATCTCTACAATAAATCAAAAAATCAGCCGGCCGTGGTATCGTGCACCTGTAATTACGGCTACTGGGAAGGCTGAGGCGGAAGGATCGCCGGAGCCTAGCAGGTCGAGGCTGCGGTGGCCGGGAGCGGCTGCTGCACTCCAGTCTGGGTGATGGAGTGAGACTCTAACTCAAAAAAAAAAAAAGGAGTTTATATGCCATTCAGTCATCTTTTAGCCAGGCGTGGTAGCGCGCGCCTGTAGTTCCAGCTACTCGGAAAGCGGAGACGGAAGGATCGCTGGAGCCCCGCCGGTCGAGGCTGTGGTGTCCGGGAGCGGCTGCTGCACTCCAGTCTGGGTGACGGAGTGAGACTCCGACTCAAATAATAATAATAATAATAATATATATGGATAATGCTATAATCACGCTATGACATATTAGTTTGATATATGCATAACTTTTAAATAATAAAAGATGGTTTTTGTTATGAATTTTTAAAAATTTTAATACAAAGTCAGATTTTAAGATTGTACTCAGAGAGCAAAATATCTTTACATACTCATGATTATCTTTAATATTTATTTGTACAATATACACTGAAAATGTTTACATTTACTAATAAGGAATGCCAAGCGTATCCATCACCATTTGAATAGCCTGCAGGGAATCTGTGATTTCTTCCATGTTATCTCTTCTCAAAACCCAATCTGGCTTAAATCTGCTAAAAAAAAAAAAATGACATTAATACAGTTCTTCTCTTCAAAGTATTACCTTCACCTTTTTTGTCCAACTAAAACGTAACTACCCCTGAACCATCATCTCCTTTATAATCCTTTCAGAGATGGGAGAACTTCACATTATTGCCCAGTACTAGGTTCCAGTCTATTTCTCTCTATCCCTCCTAAAATATGAGGCTAGCTTCTTTAAAGTGTATGCTATTTAGCTCTACTACCATCTTTAGGTCATCAATCATATCCGCAGTGTCTTCCTTGTAAACCTGGTTCTTGGTCTTCTCTTAACTCCTGTCACCATTCTCGGCAACAGCAACATTCATATGGACAAAAGCCAACAACCCCTTTCCTTCTGCTCTTACTCAACCAATTCCTTCTCACACGGTCACATACTAGACTTTTTCATCACCAGAAAAGTGCAATACCAGCGAAATCTCAATTTGAGACTTCCATTCTCCAACCACCACCTCTAACTCATGCATACTATATGCTTTAACACAGTCACTGAACCAGTTCTTCCACCCCATTGAGATCTCCAATTCATTTGACTTCAACATGTATCCATTATTCTTCACAAAGCTGTTCTCACTTTCCTCCAGATGTGGCTCAGGTACATCAATACAATTATACTTTTTGCAAATGTCATTAATTCTGTTGTCTCTCTCCCCTACCCAATTCATCTGGAAAATTCTATCAGGATTTCAAATCAAATCAAAATATCTACCTTTTTCATTCCTATATAGCTACATAATACTAAAAAAAAAAAAATTACACAACCAAGTTTTTACTTTAAGCCAATAACTGCAAATCTAAAATGGGCATTTGAAATTGCTCAAGCATGTTCCCATTCTCTACAAGATTACTATTTTCTTTCTTTCTTCTTTTCAAATGCCCCCTCCACACCCTCTGTGCTGCTTCTAAATTGTCGAGTTTGTAATCTCTCATTTCATTGAGAAAATAATATCAAAGGGGAGTTCATATGCCTTCTCACAGAAATCCCTACTTATGCATTTCCACCTTCTTATTCTTTTATGTTAAAAATCTAAATATAGCCGGGCTCAGTGGCTCAGCCTGTAATCCCGCGCCTTTGGGAGGCTGAGGTGAGTGGATTGCCTGAGCCCGCGGGTTCGAGACCTGCCTGGGCAGCGAGACCTCATCTCTACAATAAATCAAAAAATCAGCAGGGCGTGGTAGCACATGCCTGTAATTCCGGCTACTCGGAAGGCTGAGGCGGAAGGATCGCCGGAGCCCAGCAGGTCGAGGCTGCGGTGGCCTGGAGCGGCCACTGCACTCCAGTCTGGGCGACAGAGTGAGACTCCAACTCAAAAAAAAAAAAAAAACCTAAATATTTATTAATTGGTGAGTGAACAAAGTATGGTATAGCCACACAATGGAATAGTACTCAGTGAAAAAAAGAAGGAATGAAATTCTAATCTATGCATCAACATGGATGAACTTCAAAAGCATTACACTAAGCAAAGCAATTCACCCACAAAAAGTCATACACTGCATGATTCCGTTTATGCGACAGTGTAGAAATTGCAAAACTAAAGGTACAAAACCAGATCAGTAGTTGCCAGAATCTAGGGATTAAAGATCATTGAACTGCATATCTATAAATTATGCATTAAACAAAAATCTAACCTACATCAAAAGAAAAAAGAATCTATTCATTGATACGCTAGTAACAGTTTTTAAAACATAATGAATATTCAATTACACCAAATCCTTAAGTAAAAAAATATGTAGAAGTGGTCCTATTAACACATTTCAAGCAATTAGACTATTTTCACATTATACTGTGAAATATGCATGCATAAAACCAATTTATAACGATTATACAGTTTATAATTAGAAGTATAATTATAAAGCTAACTGTTGTAAAATCATTCAGGTCAAGAAATAATGCATTGTCAGCATTGCAGGATTTGTGCCTAGGAAAGAATTGCTAAGTTATAGGAAGGAAAAAGACAGAAAGAAGAAAGAAGGAAGAAAGAAAGGGAAGGAAGAAAGGAACGAGGAAGAGAGGAAGGAAATTCCTCCCTTATGATAGTTCACCAAAACATTATGATAGTTAGTCAAAATAAAATTTTTTGCTTATAAATTAAAATCAGAAAATGTTAAATAATTTTTAGATAAAATTTTACTGTCTGAGCAAAATATTAAGTCACAGCTAAAGTTTAATTTACACATTTTAGACCACAAAATATTAATGAGTAACAACAACAAATTTATCTCAAATCAGTATAATTCTATTTATATAATCTAATGGAAGAATGCTGCTAGAGTTCTTTATAATACAAGACAAATACAAGTGCCCCAAGTAAATTTATCTAATTTTACACTTGAAAAGAATAAATTTTAACTGTATAAAAATTGTACCTTGGCCAGACGCTGTGGCTCAGCCTGTAACCTCAGCATTTTGGGAGACTGAGTTGAGAGGACTGCCTGAGTCCGGGGTTTTGAAACCAGCCTAGGCAACTTGGCAAGACCTTGTCTCTACAGTAAAACACAAAAACTAGCCAAGAGTGATGATATTCGTCTGTAGTTCCAGCTACTTAGAAGGTTGAGGTGGGAGGGTCACCTGAGCCCAGCAGGTGGAGGCTGGGGTGGCCGTGAGCGTGCCACTGCACTCCAGCCTGGGTGACAGAGTGAGACTCCAACTCAAAAAAAAAAAAAAAAATTGTACCTTAGTAAACCTAACCTTAGAGAATATGTAACAACAAGGTTAAGGCTAAATTACTTCAAAAGTTTCTAAAACCTGATCCTAAACTTCTGAACATTTATCAATACAGAGCAGTAACAGTTTACAGTTAGTCTGTAAGTCACTTAGAGTAACACAAAGTCTTGTAATTCAGGATTGGTTTTATGACAAGAATCCTACTTAGAGGGTGTTTTATACCAGGAAATATACAACATTGGGTTGTCATCTTTTTTGTGTGTGATGTCAAGAATCATTAATAGATTTGATTATTGTTACCCAGATCCATTTTCAATTCATCCAAAGATTTTATCAGCCATGCATGACCATGGTCTAAAGTAGGTCTATTATTCCATTAGGGGCTGCAAAATAGCATATAATCTCATATTATTTCAGCATTTATTACATTGATTTTTGTGGATAAGAACTTTCCAACATTAAACATTTGGTTACCCTAAGATACAGTCTGTATAAGAAAAATGGTATAAATACTTGATTCTTTCCCTTTACTTATAGTTAGCATCACAAGTTGTTTCTCTGCCATCCTCCAAGGACAGCCAATTACCATTTTTTCATTAGTATCATTATAAATTTATGCATTTTTCATATAATGTGTTCCATTTATTTGCAATCCCCATCTGGCAGCAGCATCATCACATCACCAATGACCTCCATTTTGCCAAATCTAATGGGCATTTTTCAGCTTCATCTAAGGACCTCTCAGCAGCATTCCACACAGTTTACTGTAACAACAGCATCCTTGGAATGTCTTCTGTTTGATTAGCAAATCCCTTTGGGAGCTCTTGGCTGGCTCTTTCTCTGTCTGACCTCTGCAATAACCAGGGTTACCACAGGGTGTATTATGTATTCTCTTCCCTCTAGGTGATCACATTCCTCTTCTGACCTTAAGTGCTATCTGTATCCTGAAACTAACGATACTCCAACATATACCTCTAGCCTGGTTCTTCTGCCCAGAACCATACACCTGATTTTCCAATGGCTTATTTACGTTTTTATCAGTGTCATAAGTTTCTCAGGCTCACAAAACAAAGCCCCTCCTTACTTTATTCTGTCTTTTCCTCAACTCTCATCCTTTAGGGCTCAGTTTAAATACTATATACCGGAAAACTCCCATTACCCTCCTTCAGCAGGAACACCAAATTACTCTTTGCCTTAGCAGTCGTCACAATCTTTATTACTTTACTACTTTATTCACTCATGTATTTTTCATTGTCATTCTCTTGAACTCTATGCTGCCACAATAACAACTTACCCTGCAGTATAGACTATATCTGTGTACTTTTTCTACTCTCTGACAGTGATAGAGGGGTCTATTTGGTTAACTAGGTAAGTTAACACCCATTTTATTTAAACTTCTAAAGTAACATGTTTTAAACTAGTTAAACCATAATTATCTCTCTAGATCTGCAGTAGGCTGAATGGTAGCCCCTCCCCACCAAAGGATATATGCATGTCCTAATCACCAAACCTATGGCTGTTATCTTATTTGAAAAAAGGTTTTTTGCAGATACTTAAGTAAAGGATCTCAAGATAAGATCATCCTGGATTATTCAGGCTGGTCCTAAATCCAGTGATAAGTGTCTTCCCAAGAGATACAGAGGAGTGAGAAAAAGAAGGGCATATGAAAATAGAGATTAGAGTTATACAGCCACACACCAGGGAAAACTTAGAGCCAACAGAAGCTGGAAGAGTCAAGGAAGGATTGTACCCCAGAGTACCTGGAAGAAGGACAGCCGTACCAACCCACACCCTGATTTTGAATTTCTGTCTCCAGAACTATCAAAGCTTCTGTTGTTTAAATATACCAAGTTTGTGGGAGTTTGTTACAGCAGCACTAAAAAAATAATATAAAGTCTCAAAAACAACTTGTCTAGAATGAGAAATTCCAAGAATTAGTGTGATTCAGGGTCGACATTTTGACCTTGAAGGACTTTTGGCAGGTCTTACGTGTGCAGGGGGCCAAAAACCCCCAAAATTATCATTTGGAGGGTGGGTCCCTTGTAGTACAGGCTTTTGGCTATGTAAGGGTTCTAGGAACCTCTCAGCATCAGTGTATCAGCTAGTGCTGTTATGAGGGGCTGCATTCAGTTATGAGTGGATTTTTGTTTGGAGTTTATTTCAGCAAGCTTCCCCACTTCACGATGAGGGATTGGCAGGCACAGTCTGCCCACACGGCACGGGGTGTTCCGCATGTCTGACCCCAAACAGTATGACCCCCATGCCCCCCTCCCTATTCACCCAGGCTGGTCCCGAGTGACGTTTTTTTGTTTCCCCAGATGAAAAAAGTCCTCAAAAGGAAATGTTTTGTTGATGCGGTAGAGGTAAAATTAAAAAATGGAAAAAGCACTGAAAGGCATAAAAATGGACGAGTTCAAAAACTGTTTTGAGCAGTGGAAAATGCTTCTCAATAAGTGGTATTGCATTAAACAAAGAGTACTTTGAAGGTGATTGAAGCATAAACATGTAAGAAGAAATACACATTTTTTATAAATAAATTTCAGACCTTTTTTGGTGCCCCCTTTATAGCTTGTACTTCATGCGGAAAAAAAAAATTGTGAGAAATTTACTAGCCTTAAGCTCATAACTATTAAATACAAGAAATTTTTATTTTTCTGAGTTGGAGTCTCACTCTGTCACCCAGGTTGGAGTGCAGTGGCACACTCATGGCCACCCCAGCGTCAATCTGCTGGGATCCGGCGATCCTTCTGCCTCAGCCTTCCAAGTAGCTGGAACTACAGGCATGCGCTACCATGGCCGTCTAATTTTTGATTTATTATAGAGACGAGGTCTTGCCAAGTTGCCCAGGTTGGTCTCGAACCCACGGGCTCAGGCTAGTACAAGAAATTTGTTGAATAAATACTAAATACCCAAAGCTACATTATACTATTATTTCATTATTTACTAAGATTGTCTCCTTTACATTTACCAAATACTCTGTTCTTGCTCATATGTTGTTTCTCCACTGTCAAGTATAGTACAATATCTTGCTATGGTAAGTGCTCAATAAATATCTGTTAAATGGATGAGCAAACAGTGACAAAAAATTATTATAGAGTATATTCAACTACTTACCTTGAAACTATTCTGGTCCTTACAGGTGTTTCTGGAATAAAGGGAATGCTCATAGAATTCCTCTTTTGTTTATAAAGTATTCTTTCAGTATTCATTTTATGTTTACGAGCTGTAAGTTTATAGAGACTATAAATACGGTCAGCAACCTTGGACCTACTTTGTACATCCTAAAAAATAAAATGTACAGTTATTGAAAACGTATAAGAATAAAATTTTTATCTCTTCTAGACTAGCAAAATCAACCTTAATAAATAAGAACTATGAAGTAAACTTTTGGGCTTTTAATAATAAAAAAAGCTAAGTTTAGTAGGTAGATTGATTTAAATTATGAACTAATTTGCAAGGTAAAGAAGACAAATATTCACAAGTTGCACATCTAACTGCACACTGAATACAAAAAGGAAATGTTATAGTCAATATGCCTATCACATCCTGTTACCAAGTATTATAAATTTTACCTCTTCAAAGTTTCCAGAGTCACCCACTTATTTCTTACTGATGCAGCCCTAGGTCAAGCACAATCTTTTGCTTAGACCACTACATATCTACACTTGCCTTCTTTTTCAATGATATCCCTATATCCACACATGCTCTCCCAAATTCATTCTTCACTCAGTAGCCAGAGTGGTTAAAACTTAAGCTGGGCCAGGCACTGTGGTTCACACCTGTAATCCTAGCACTTTAAGAGTCTGAAGTGGGCGGACCGTTTGATCCCAGGAGTTCAAGACCAAGCTGGGCAACATAGCAATACCTCGTATCTACAGAAAAAAAATAAAAAATAAAAAAATATTAGCTGAGTGTGGTGGTGTTCACCTGTAGTCCCAGCTCAGAAGGTTGAGGCAGGAGGTCTGTATGAGCCCAGGTGAGCAGTGATCATGTCACCAAACTCCAGGTTGGGCAACAGAGTGAAACACTGACTCAATAAATAAATAAATAAATAAATAAATAAATAAAACTAAATTAAAACAAGCAAGCAAAAAACACTTAAATTGAAAAATATCATTCCCTTGCTTAAAACCCTTCAGTGGTCTCCACTGTTATGGTCTAAGGTTTCCCCTATGTTGGTATTCCCCTAAAGAGAATAATTTGGAGGCCTCACTATAGAAAAACTTGAAATATATTTATGGTTACAATCAGATAAGAAGTCATATATATCTGGTATGTATATGGGAAATGTGAAATGTTTACTTATATGACTGTAATAAACTGTATTTTCAGAAGTCAGTTTCTTTAATATGCAAGAAAAAAACAACCTGTGTGTGTGTGTATCTTGAATTCATTTTATCAGTTTAAACACATATAAAACTCTATTTTAGAGTGATAATTACTAAAAGAAAAGAATAAAAGTCATAGGCTTAAGAACACAGAAAAATAATCTTAAAGAAAGGTACTTACAGAGGCTCGATTTGTTATCTTCAATAAAATAGCCAACAAACAACAAGTTTTTGTGAAAATGCTTCCACCCTTAAATGCAAATTTGTCACCAGGCTTTTCTTGGTACATCTGCAAAAGCTCCAATAGTGTATCGATACAATTTTCTACATTATAAACTGCTGAAGTAGTTTTCTCATACTTGAAGAGAACAAAATGAAATTAAAAGTTATAATAAACACATACCTTTAGAGATACATGCCAACCCAAAACAAAACAAACCAAAATGCTTACAGCCAAATTTGTGGACCATCTGCATCAAGAGCAAAGGATTTCATGAAGTGACTTTGTTATTACTGTCATTTCTGGATCTATCTTATATGTATATTGACCTCTTAATTTTAATCTTAAATCTACTTCTAAAGTTCCACAAAAAAATAAATCAAATCTAAAATCTCTGAAAATGAACATCTCGAAGTCAATAAAAGCAGACTTTTAAAGGTAAGAGCATTTTAGTAAGAACGTCTTAGGAAAAAGATAACTTATATGTGATAGTTAATCTTATCAAGATAATGATAAAAACAAGACCTAATTATTTACCCTATTACATGCTTCTGAGAGGAATAAGAGTTTGCTTTAAAATAAAACAAAATAAATTTGATATTAATAAGTCTAGGCTATATTTTCATGTCTCAGTTATCTCATTTTTCCATTAGATTTATACGGAAATTTGCAAGGTAACAATAATGACAGGATAAAAATAACAAAACATTAATAGCACTTTACATATCAAACACTTTATATATATCAACTAATATAATCCTCACAATAACATTTTGAGATAAGTACTGTTACTATACCTAATTTATGGTTGGGAAAAATAAAGCACAGAGAATCTAAGTAATCTGTAATAAGCTGCAGAGCTGGGATTCAAACACAGGTAGTTTGGCACCAGAGTCTGTGTTTTTTTTTCCCAGTCCACATCATGCTTTGATAGAGTCTATGTTCTTAACCACTATCTCTCAAATAAAAATAATGGGTAAAATGTGACTGAGGGATTGAGTAGAGGAGATAAGTCTTTAATACTTTTGACTGCATGCAATATAGTTTGGTACAGGTACCAGCTTCCAGTCCAAGACCAAGAGACTTAAATTCAGAATAATGGTTACAGGGTAATTAAGATATAACAATATTTTAAAATCACATTTTGGTAGACATTACTATGATGGGGTAATACTGTTTTAATATAATGTAGTGGATGACAACACCAGCTCTAATAACAGACAGAAATGAATCCAAATTCAGTTCCACCACTATGATAATACTTGGGTTCTTAGGAGAGAAACTTAACTTTTATAATTATTATTATTCCTTTTCTATAAAATAGGGATAAAATATAAACTACTTCAGAGGATTATTGTAAGGATTAAATAATGTATGAAAAGTACTACCATATAGCAAATAATAAAAGCTAACATTGTATTAATATAAAGGCAGAGGAAATAAAATCACACAAAAATTAGTGCTTACATGTACAATTACGTAATAGATTAAACATATTTCCCCCTAAGACTCTTGTACATAAACAAATTTTAACTTAGAGATCTAAGTTCTAGTGATGAACAAGCATCCACTTAACTTGCAGGGCAATATCTGCTGACCAATGAATACTAAATTATTAAAATGAATACCTTAGCTACATTAAGCAAAACTTGCACAGCATATCTGATGACCTCCATACAAGGAACACTACGATTACAACTTCGGATCAAAACAAATATTTTGGAAATTGCTTCACTCTGGGCCATGTTCTCACAACAAAGTGGAGACAATCGAGTAACTACCTCTGAAAGTAAAAAGAACAACAACAAAAAAACAGGTAAATTCACAACAATAAAATGAAATCTTAGCTAATAATGTACTATTACAATATTCTTTTAACGTGTTAAAAAACAAACTAACCTAGATGCTTTAAAGCCTCCAGAATGGCAGAAAGGTGTTTATATGTTAAAAGACAATGAAGGGCAAGTGCAGTTCTTTTGTAGAGTTTGTCTTCTTCTCGAACCTCCCTATTAACAACTTGAAGACTTAGTCGTATAGCTTTAATTTTTGTACAATCATTTTTCTTCCTCCAAGAATAGCCTCTCCATAATGCCTTAAAGAGATAAAACACAGTCAATAATGTTTCAAATTTATAGCTACATCTATTTCCACAATGTAAACATTTTCAGTAAATTTATATGATATGATGAGAAACATTTCAGGAAAAAAAATCTTACTTCAGGTTCTAATCGACAGCAAAATCAATTTTCAAAAAAATACATGTAATATTTCTGTATATAAACTTGGCATTATTCATTGACCAAAGATGTCCAAATCTATTCAAAATGTTAAACTACTTTTTATTACTTGATCATAAACCCCCTCTAGGGAATTTAAAATAAAGAGCTTAGCAATGAAACTAAGGTAGCATAGTGAGTATGAGTAGTTCTATTGGCTAATCTCTTAGCTTTTTCATATGGTGGCTATGTTTTTATAAATTGTCAAGAAATCCTATGGATTAACTGCAGACTAAAGTTTCGAATTAAAACCACACAAACTTCAATTACCTGAATTTTAGTGATTCCCCTATCAAATTTTTCCTGTTTTTTACGAAGGAGGAAATGGCGTACTGCTTCCTGTATTACTGATGCAGCCCTATTTTGCTGTCTCAGACATTTTTGAACTTCATGCTCAATTTTTATGATGCCACAATATTTCTGAATAAATCTCTTTCGTTGGAATTTCGCTCGATACCATCTCTGTTTAAAATATACAATGATTTTTTTCCATTTTAACTTCAGATTTAAAAAAAACACATATATACAATTATATACATAAATGAAAGAAATAGAACAGTATATCAAAAGATCTTTCAAATCTCCTCTGTGGCAGAACGTCCCTGTTCCACTTGGTGCAAAAACCCTTCCAGTCCATGCTGGAGGTATATGTGTAGACCCAGGTACGATATATTTAACCTTGTACAACACTGCATTCTGTTAATAATTTATATAAATTCTATCAACTTATATGCATCATTTTGCATTTTTTTACTAAATACTTTATAAGTAAATGTACATCAATGTATATAAACAAATAGGATTGTTCTCCATAATATATAAACAACTCCTATAAATTATAATTAGAAAATTCAACAGAAAAACAGGCAAAGTAAATTTAAAACACCACATTTTTTAAAAAGCACAGAACACAAAGAACTCGAATAACCAACACATATGAAAACAATTTTAGAATTGCTAGCAAGCATAAATCCCAAACAAAAATGAGAAACCATTTCTCATTCATTAGCAAAAATCAGTCTTCTGTTGCTATATGTTGGCAAGCCTATAGAGAAACAGGTACTTTCAAGACTTTGCTAGTAGGAGTGTAAATGAGTACAATTACATCAGAGAATAATTCACAACTTTATTTCAGTGTCACAAAATACCAATTTCTTTCTTTTTTTTTTTTTTTTTTTTTGAGTCGGAGTCTCACTCTGTCGCCCAGACTGGAGTGCAGCGGCCGCTCCCGGCCCCCGCAGCCTCGACCCACTGGGCTCCAGCGATCCTTCCGCCTCCGCTTCCAAGTAGCTGGAACTACAGGCGCGCGCCACCACGCCCGGCTAGTTTTTGATGTATTGTAGAGACGAGGTCTCGCCAAGTTGCCCGGGCTGGTCCTGAACCCGCAGGCTCAGGCCATCCACTCACCTCAGCCTCCCAAAGGCGTGGGATTACAGGCTGAGCCACCAAGCCCTGCTTCCTTGTGCTAACCTTTTAATAAACTTTTTATGTTAAAATAGTTTTCAATTTGTAGAACTGTTACAAATATAATACAGAGAATCCCTGAAAACCTCATACTGTTTCCCCTCCTGTTAATATCTTAACATTACTATGATGTTTGTCACAACTAATAAAGTAATATTGGTACATTTCAACTAATGAAACATATATGCCTTATAAATATTTCCTTTTTTTTTTTTTTTTTTGAGTTGGAGTCTCACTCTGTCGTCCAGACTGGAGTGCAGTGGCCGCTCCCGGCCACCGCAGCCTCGACCTGCTGGGCTCCGGCGATCCTTCCGCCTCAGCCTTCTGAGTAGCCGGAATTACAGGCATGCGCCACCACACCCGGCTGATTTTTTGATTTATTGTAGAGATGAGGTTTCGCTGCCCAGGCGGGTCTCGAACCCACGGGCTCAGGCAATCCACTCACCTCAGCCTCCCAAAGGCGCGGGATTACAGGCTGAGCCACCGAGCCCGGCTACACCAATTTATTTCTAACCCTCAAATCAGCCTAACAGCTATATGGTGAAAATGCTAAATATTATATGACCTTGGCATAAGGAATTTGGAAGTTACTTATTATGTATAAAAAATTTCTAACAGAAAAATTGTGCCATAAAGTTTTAATGTAAAAGAGAAGTTTACCTGAATACAGATGACTGAATTAATCTGCTTCTTAGCATTCTTCAAAGCTATATGAAGTTTATATGCTCTTTGAATTCTAAGAGCAGACAGGTGATAATATGCAGCTGCAGAAAAATGAAGAAGCCGAATTTTGGCTCTTTGTTCTAAAATCTGAAGGGAAAAATAAAAATAAAGAGTAATCAAGTATCTGACTCCTCAGTCAATCAATCAGTGTTTATTTTTTTGTATAACTTCAATATCAAATTATATAAACTAGCATGAATAAATCACCTGTAAATTATTACAAGTATTTATATTGTAATTCAAAGTGATCATAATCCTTTATTATATAATATTTTCAAGGGTATAACTCATAATTCAGGATATAAAAAGCAAAATTATATTTTTGGTACTTTAAAAAATAACAATAGCACTTAATTTTACTAGACTGCCCAATGACAACTAATTAAGGCTTTGCAATGTACTTATGATTAGAGATAAATTTGAAACTCAAAAACGGTTACAGTATTCCAAGCAGAACTGTTGGAGATGGTGACATTAAATCAGACAAAATTAAATGAATTACTTTCTCCAGTTAGTGTTGCACAAGTCCAATAGAAGATTTGTAGCATAAGCTTTCTACACTGATTTTTGGGCTTCAGACACCCAATTTGTATTTAATGAACAAAATATAAAAGATTTCTCCTTTTTAAATTCAAATATAGTTATTTTGTCTATATAAGGGCTTCTCACATTGGAAGCTAAAATGCCATGAGCTCCCTAAAAAAATTATTTCTTGTTGACGTGGAAGCTATCATGGGAATGGTTAGCTGCAAAGCTTCAAGAGTTGCTTTGGTGGTAGCAGAAAGCTAGTTGAAAACAATTGATCTTTTCACATATGGAGACTTTCTCTCATATTTTTTTAGTTCTTTTGTTACAAGTTTTTACTTAAGAGAAAATTTACTTTGCATCTTTGGTGGTGACTATCTGTGAAAAATAGTAGGATTAGGATCATAACAAAAATCTGACAATCAGTGCTCTTGTTACATAACTCTCCAGCAGCTGAATGGGTTCAAGTTGTTATACTAGTTCTGAAATTATTCTCCAAAATCCAAAATTTCAAAGACTATTTAACAATAAATACTTTCATCTTATAAGACTAAGATATTCTACTTAAAAATACTTACTTTTTTTCTTACTAACCAACCACGCACCAGTGCTTGTAGAATAACAGTAGATTTTTTTAATTCAATATATTTTACCCTTTCATACTTTCCGGTCTCCCTGGCTCGTATATATCTTTGTATGATCAAAGCAGCAGATTTCTGCCTAAGAAAGACATGCCTTCCTTTATATCCTCTAAAATGTGCTTGGATCAAACAAGCAGCTCGATGTCTCTATAAAGGAAAATTTGCAAGTACCATTAATACATAGATATAAAAAGCTTTAAATCCACTAGAAGGCCTTGAATTTCTCAATGTAAAATGAGATGGCATAATTATAATTAACCGGTTGAGAATGCCATTTTTTTTTTTTTTTTTTTTTGAGTTGGATTCTCACTCTGTCGCCCAGACTGGAGTGCAGTGGCTGCTCCCGGCCACCGCAGCCTTGACCTGCTGGGCTCCGGCGATCCTTCCGCCTCAGCCTTCGGAGTAGCCGGAATTACATGCATGCGCTACCATGCCCAGCTGATTTTTTGTAGAGATGAGGTCTCACTGTCCAGGCGGATCTCGAACCCGCAGGCTCAGGCAATCCACTCACCCCAGCCTCCCAAAGGCACGGGATTACAGGTGAGCCACCGAGCCCGGCTAGAGAATGCCATATTTAGTAGCCATGACAAAGGTGATTATTTCTAAACTCATAGAGGTCTAAAGCCAAAAATGAAGGTATAAGCCAAGATCAAAAGATATCTGGTGTTCTTTCCCTCTTATCCTTTTGATTCTTTTTATTGTGAGGGGTACAAGGACTAACTCTACAGGACAAACACATTTAATAAAAATGCTAGCTACAATATGAAGAGCAGAGTGATTGTTAATTATAAACAGTTGAGAGAAGCTGTTGTAGTGTCAAGAAACATAGCATACCACCACCTTAGATTCCTCAATTACATAATATCCGACAAGAATTACCAAAATGTGACACAGAGTCACATGCTATTGGAAAAATGATGACAATAGACTTGCTCAATACCAGGTTGCCACAAACCTTCAATTGTAAAAATGCAATGTCTGTCAAGCATAATAAAGCAAGGTACAATACAGCAGATATAAATATATACATATACACATCTGTACGGATATATATAAAAGTATTAGCAAATAGTATTTTTGAGTGAATATAATTTTTAATTGGCTGGACTACATGTTTATGAAATTTAAATGCATAGTTAGGTCTTAGAAATTTTTTTGTTTTCTGTTTTCTAAAGAGTTCTTTTTAAATGAATTGGGTTTTTTTAATACCTACTTTCGTCATTAAGAAGTGCTCACGAGCTTTTCTTGCAGTAAGTGTAGCTCTCCATTTTCTCTGAATGATAATTGTTGATGCTCTCACATTCAAAAACCTAAAAAGTAGGTATTGGAAAGCAATTTAAAAATGAATCTAGTCAATAAATATTTACTGTTTTCCTCTTTAAATAATAGAGGATAATAAAATATAAGAAAGGAAGTAACAACAAAAGTAGGAAAGAAAAGTATTAGTACTTAAATTCTAACAATTAGAACTTATATACATGTCAAAATGAAAAAATAAGTTTTCCAACTGTCAATATTTCAGTGGATTAAGAAATATGAAGTTCTATGATTCAAATGTGATGTAGAATTTTGAACAGGATCAAAAGAAAGTATGAGTATCTAGATCTAGACAAAACCTAGATAAAAGGGATAGTGGCAGAAACAATGGTAAAGTATAAAATCCTGCCAGGTACAGTGACTCAAGCCTGTTTCCCAGCACCTTGGAGAGGCTGAGGTGGGAGAATTGGCTTGAGCCCAAAAGCTTGAGATCAGCCTCAGCAACACAGTGAAATCTCATCTTTATCCAAAAAAAAAAAAAGTAAGACGAGAAGAAAACTCTTATAGTGAAATAAAAGAACATAGATGATCTGGTTACAGCTTCTGAAAATGTGTGTGTAAAAAATAAACTAGAAATAGGAAAATACAATTAGCACAGACAGGTGGGTAATTAGGGTCTTCAGCATTAATGACAAAGTATGGAGAATGATACAGAGCTCAAAAGAAAAATGAGTTGAGAAAACACTTTTTGCCAGTAACTAAATCACCAAACAAAATGGGCCAAAGCTAATAAGGAAACCAATACTCAATTAACTAGATTATTTTATATTCACTTCCTACTCTTCTGTCCTTACTCTCATCCCTATGAATCTGAATTAATCAAGTATAAGTAAATGTCTTTCACTAAATTATAAGGCCACTCTCTATCTCAAAAAAGAAAAACAGTTCAAGAGATATATTTTGTTTCCTTAATGGAGAAAATACTAACAAAACCAAACATCTAAATTAAGCATTAACAAATATTTAAAATAAAACCAAATAAATGTTATTTTGTACAATAGCTAATACACATATATACTTCTCACACTCTTTCATGATATATTACCGTGTTCTCTCCTGTTTGGTATAGAAGCAACCTTGAATAATTTTAACAGCTTTTAATACAGTTAGATATTCTTTGCGAGCTCTCCAACACCGATACCAGGCTTGAATCTTGCAGGCAGCTTTCACTTTACATAAATATTTCTTGACTTTATATGCCCTCCACACAGCCTATTAAAAGTAACGAGTATGCAATGAGTTGTCTATTTTTTGGAAATGAAAAGAATCACTATTAAAGACAGGATACAGTTAATGTAAACAAAAAACCAAATTGTATAAATATAGTTACATCATTACTATTTGACTCTGACACATAGTGAGCTCTCTGAGAACAATGGTGCTTACTAGAGCAAACACCTACTATGTGCTTTATCACACTCCATGGCTGGCTGCCAGCCCAGCATAACATAACCCTAATCAGTAATTATAAAATGTAAAACAGCTTGTCTAAACAGTCAGATTATGTGCAATACCTCAATTCTTTGGAAGAACAGAAAGAAAAATGAACACACTGACCTACTCCACTTCCTGGGGAGAAAGAGGAATCCTTCCCACTCAATATTCATTTGGGTTTTATGACCATACTGCAGAAGAATCCTGAGAGCTCCTATCTATAATAGGACTGTCAGACTTCTTGATTTTGACAACCTTGTAGCAGACTAAAAGCTTATGTGAAAGCTACAACTTTTTGGACTGAGCACTAAAAACTATCAGTCCTTATAATAACAGAGATAAGTAATACTGAATATGTTTATACTATATATATATTTACATGTTATATATATTTTATGTAAACCTGAATTCATTATATGTACATGTATATGCATTATATATGGGTGTATACACAGACATACACAGAGGTATTGAGTAATATACAGTATATTCCAGTGATTCTCAAATGTAACTGTTCATCAGAATCAATAGGGAGCTTTTAAAAATTTCATGCCTGTGGTGACCCCATATCATAAAAATCGTATCATAAAGATTCCAGGTGATTCCAATATGTGGTAAAGTTTGAGACCACTGATATCTGCTAAAGACGACATGCATAAAATATTTTATAATGCTAATTCCATAAAAGAAAAAAGAATCAAATTTTCATAAGATTATTATTTTCACTTTTCAGTCATTTGAGCAGAATATAATCCTAATGCATCCAATTAACAACTTTCAATTCTAAACTTCCTGGTAGCGTTTGGAATTTGATCACTCCTTCCTTTCTCCCTCAACCCTTGGTTTCTTGATACGGTCTCTTAGTTTTCTTCTTTCCCTCAGAATACTATGTTGGCTTCACTTGTCAATGTCCTTGGATTTTTATATTCTTTAAGGCTCAAGTCCCAGCACCTCTCTCTTCTTTGATTCACACATCCTTTCAAGGTGATCCTGTTACTCCCACAACTTTAATTATCATGGTATACCAATAATGTACAAACCAAATTCTAAACTTCATACTACCTTCCTGAACTCCAGATATAGTCAACTGCCCTACTAAACATCTCAAAAGGGACATTTGTTAAGTACTTCAAACTTCATGTACTCCAAACTAAACTACGCATCAATCTTAAAACCTATTCCGAGCCGGGCTCGGTGGCTCAGCCTGTAATCCCGCACCTTTGGGAGGCTAAGGTGAGTGGATTGTCTGAGCCCGTGGGTTCAAGACCGCCTGGGCAGGCGAGACCTCATCTCTACAATAAAATAAAAAATTAGCCGGGTGTGGTAGCGCGCACCTGTAATTCCAGCTACTCGGAAGGCTGAGGCGGAAGGATCAACGGATCCCCAGCAGGTTGAGGCTGTGGTGGCCGGGAGCGGCCACAGTACTCCAGTCTGGACGACAGAGTGAGACTCCAACTCAAAACAAAACAAAACAAAACAAAAACCTATTCCTCCCTTTGTGCCCTATGTGTGTGCAAGAATAACTCTGCAGTTACTTAACCCATAAACATGGCTTATTTCTTTGCATACGCTCTATATAGTGCCAATTCTCTCCTTTCAGTCAAACTAATTCCCACAATCCCATTGTCACTAGCTTATACTGAACTATAACTATCTTTCACTTGGCCTACTGCCAGTATCTGGTCTTCCTGCTCCCTTTCTAGTCCATTTTCCATATTCCTGTCATAGAAATTAAAAAAAAAAAAAATTATCCTAGCCTCTTGTTACAACTCCTTCCAAACTTCTCCTACTCTGGAGGATAAAGACTAAAATTTTCTGTCTTAAATATCTATTCATAAATTTACTTCCTCTGTCGCCAACCAAGTCCTATTTCATTTTTTTTGCTTTTAGTTTTTGGATTTTGACATGTTACCAACTGCAGATGGAATACTCCTTCCATACATTTTACTTGGGTATTTACAACTCATACTTCAGCTTTTCAATTTAAATGTCATTTGCTCAGGGAAGCATTCTCTGACTACTGAGACTAGCTCAGTTTCCTGCTCTGTTTCTTGTATTATAATTGTATTATGTAATTGTTATAATTAGTCTTCCTTGTTCAGTTCTTTGAGGACAACAACTAAGTAAATCTTATTTACAGCCTATTCCTAACACCCAGGAGAGTATTTGGCACATTGCTAGCACGTGACATTTGTTGAATTAAAATATTATTTCTAAGTTTAACAGCAACTCAGCAAGATATGAGCATACCACATGCAGGTTATCAAAGGTAGAACAGAAATAGCTGAAGTATCTAGGTTGAGTCCCTGGATCTGCCTCTGTCCGTGCAAGTTACTTAACCATTTTCAGTTCCTTCATATTTTATTTTTTGCACTCCCAGGCTGGAGTGCAATGGCATACTTATGGCGACTGCAGCCTCAACCTGCTAGGCTCAGGTGACTTTTCTGTCTCAGACTTCCAAGTAGCTGGAATTACAGGTGTGCGCTACCACATATGACTTGTTTTTTGATTTATTGTAGAGACAAGGTCTTACCAAGTTGCCCAGGCTGGTCTCGAACCTCTGAGCTCCAGCAATTCTCTCGCCTAGGCCTCCCAAAGTGCTGGGATTACAGCTTAAGACACCGTGGCCTTCCCTCATATTTTAAAAGAGATATAATATTCTTTACATATTTGGAGAATAGATCAAACAAAATAATATGAAAGCACTTTGGAAGTCAAAAGTGCTAAACACTGAATAAAGTATGTGCAGTATCCTAAGTAACTCTGGTTAACAGATTAGGAGAGGAATAAAGTTACTCTACTTGGCCTAAATTATATTGAATAAAAATTCAACCAAGCTTAAATTTTCCACTTAAAAAACACCTTTGCTAAATAGAATGCTCCCATCTTCTCAAAGTTCTTCTAAGAGTGCTGAAATGCACTAAGTTTAAGGTGACCATGGTCAAAATAATCCAGGTTTTGTGCTATCTTAACTGAATTATTATTGGTGTCCTTTTTCTATTCTCAAAAATGTTGCACTTTAGAAGATAAGTAAAATGGTCACTTCAACTAAGTATTATTCTTTATGATTTGCTTAAACTCATTTTATACATTCTAACAAATATCAGTCCAAAAATAGGTTGACAGTTTTAAATTTTTAAAAAACCTGCATTTCTATGGTGCTATTTTTAATTTCCTGAAACTTCTGTTTCTGTATAAATCCTTTCACTCTAGCTTGAATAATGATAACACTACTGATTTATAAATAAACTTGTCTGACACTTCGTAGACAGAAAGACTCTGTGGTAATTTTGCAAAACTGCTGCTGCTTTTTTATACATTAAAAACTGTTTTTTGGTTTGCCATACCCTGAAATATTGCTGTAATGTGATAGCAGCTCTTTTCTGCTGAAGAAATCTTCTTCGATGCATAGCCATCTGAAGGAAGGACTGAATTCGTAGGGCAGCACATTTCTGTGTTTCCAGTTTTCTTGTGAGTATTTCACAGAAAGTTTTTTGACTTGTTACTACAGCCCTATTTTGAGAATGATACTCTGCTTCCTGTGAATAAGCAAGTAGAGGAGTTTTATACCACTCTTGAATCATAATGTTCTCACTTTGAACAGCTTCATACTGAGTTTTAGTTCTGAAACAGTGGAGTGCAGCTTGGTTAACCATGGCTGTCATCTTATCCTCAGACATGTTTTTCAATTTTTGTCTAACTTTTATGCCTCTAAAAGCAGCCTGAATAGTTTGTACAGATTTCTGAACTGCTAAAAACTTTTTTCTTTCCATTTTTACTCTAACATATGACCTATAATAATTCTGTATAATAACAATTGCAGTTTTCTTTGCTTGATAATCAACTTTGGCCCTGTGCATTCGGTAGAATGACTGAATTGATGTGGCAGCCAGGCGCATACGTTGGATGCCCCTTCGTACCTTAAAGCCTCTGTAATAAGACTGTATACAAATAACGGCTTGGGTACGCTTTGCAGTTAGTACTCTGTATCTTCTTTGAACAGAAACTATTATTGTTCTAAGATAGAGATAATGCCTCCGTATTTTAAAGGCTTTAAAATGCTTCTGAACAATAATGGCAGCCTGGTGCTGTTTCTGCATTTGTTTTATGTCCATGTTCTGAAAATTTGCCTGAAAACAAGTCTCTGCTTTCTTAAGCTCATTGTGTTGAAGAGTTTCCTGTTTCTTTTTATTTGTTCTATATTTTTCTTGTATTACTTTTGTAGCCCACTGAAGCTTTTGGTAGAAATAATACTGCCTATACATTCTATATGTGCTTTGTATTATGATTGCAGCTTTGTGTTTTTTCCTTAAAAGTTGTCTTGCTTTCATTCTTTTATATGCAGCCTGAATGACCACAGCAGAATCCCATTGTCTGATATAATTTTTTCTTTGCAATTTTGCAGCTCTATATGTCCGATAATATTGTTGAATTAGAATTGAGGCATGTTTCCAAGTCTGAAATGTAACATATCTTCTGTGCATTCTGAAAGTAGCTTGAATGAGAACCGCAGCCCTGTGCATTTCTTGTAACTTCTTCATTACTATCAATTTTCTGTAAGATGACTGTATTGTAATGGCTGCTTTTCGTAACTGTAAGAATTGGTGTAATTTATGCTTAGCACAAATGGTGGCTCGATATTTACGCTGAACAAAAACAGCAGCCTTTCTGAGGGAAATGAATTTTCTCCTCATCACTAATGATCTAAACCTACTCTGAATAAGGGTTGCAGAGGAATGCATACCTTTCAAACGTCTTCTAGTTTTCATACCCTTGAA